TTTTAAATAACAAGTAAACAAAAATAACGATTGAAAAAACTAACATATAAAAAAGCTAATATTTAAGCAAAAGCTCATTACAAAAATAACAATAAATATTTATAATAATTCATTAAAACTTAATTAAAAATATATAAATTTAAATAATGAATAATTGCTCATTATTAGCTAATAATGTTTTTATAACCTCACTTATTAAAACGTATATGATAAGTTTCAAATATAATTAATCATTGAGGTCATTAACAAATTTAAAGCTATAAAATGTATTAATCATTTAAAGAAAAAATACCAGTTTTATTCAGAAAAAGTACAAAATAAAAGAAATTTTGTAGTTGATAAATGTAATTTTTATATAATATTACTAACAGAACTATTTCCAGAACACAGTAAGTATCTTTAATGAAAATAATATATTTTATTTATTTTTTTAATAAAATAAATGTTTCGGAGGCCACAATGCTTCAACATGTTTTATAAAATTATTAATTTGAGATTTGGGAGATGGGGTAAGAATTTTCTTTTGTTGCTATTTTCAGAAAGAATATGAACCTATGAATATCATTCAAATGTCAAATTAGCAATACAATTAATATAACTTTTCTATTTTTCATATTTGCATTAAATTAGAACTTTCTCTTATAACTACCTTAATAAAAGGCAATATAATTGAATAGTTTATTTTTCAGTCAGTTAATTTACACCTTTTTAGTACAAAAAAAAAAGTGATACATATTTTTTTTTGTACAAAAAATTGATGTATTATTCATAGTAATAATCAGCCAGTTTGTCCAAGGACACCTGAATTAGAAATAATTCTATGTATTCTTTTTTTTAGACCCGTTTTAATCTATTGGAAGTGTTTAATTCATTCAAATTATCTAGAACAGTATTTAAATAATTAATAATAACTGAGTGGATATGCAGTGCCATGTCAGAGTTTGATGGGATGCCATAAAGATAATGTCCAGTGTTATGTAATGTGCAGTTGGTTAATTCCAGTAATTCGTGCTCACCGACACCTGGTCTATTTCGTATAATAATATAGACTTACACAGTAATAATACATATCTTATTATTTATACTTTAACTTATTAGGTTAGTAATAAATTATATCGAAATATGACCAATTCAAAATAGTAATGAAATTTAATTAACTTATTCTTCCAAAGTATTTTTATTACAAGTTAAATTAAATATAATATCAATAGTTAAGAATTTATATCAGTAAAAGATAGTGTAATATTATTCTTTTGTTTTGTTTTTGCTAATTTTTTTTTTAGAAATAATTTTCTTTTGTTGATCTTTTGGCAACTTTTAATTTTTTTATATTTTTTCAATCCTTTTTTTTAGATGTCAATAAATTCCAAAACGCCTTTTGGCCTGAACTTATATTCAAATAAAAACCTCAACAAATTCTGTTGAAACAATTCATTTAGACAAAAAGTAAAACTAGAAAATGTTAATTGAATTTAGTTACAGGAAGAAGGAAAATATAAGAATCATGAAAATCATTCAAGATAAATTATATTTCTAAGCAAAGTGTAGTTATTGTTTTTATCAATTAACGCTAATAAATAATTAAATGTTATAATTGTGAAATAAATCATCAAAATAATAACAAAAAAGTTTCTTGGGAAATTTATTTTAAAAACTTCATTCGAAACTGTTAAAACGAAACCTTTTTAAAAATCTTCATAAAATTCCCAACCCCTATATTTAAATTAATAACAGAATCGATCATATTTGCTAATATCTCAAACTAATTTTAGGTTCCACGCTTAGATTTAAAATACTATTATTAAATGTTATTATCTGTAATTAAAAAAAAAACGGTCAATAAAATGTTGTAAAAAAAAACTTTGCGGTTGGTTAGCTTAAGTTTAATGGAACAGATACAAATAGAACAATAGTTAACTAGAATGTATAACACCACCAATTTTTATCGTATATATATATGAATTTATGTAAGGAAGAGAGAGTGTGTGTGAAAGAGAAGAAAGAATATTATAACGCTCCAGAGCTTAACAAATAGATATTTTCAAGACATAAATTTGTAAATTAAATAAATATCGGAAACTATAAGAACAAAAAAAAGTTTTATCGAATAAAAAATAAATAGAAAGAAAAGATTCTATTCCATTTTGTTCCGCCCGGTCTAGGTATTTTATATACATCAGTAAAATATTCAATTCAATCAATTACTTTGCGCTGAATTGTTATAATAGGTTTAAAAATTATCGTGTTTTCCTCCCGTATCATATCCGTATCATAAGCAATTTATTTAATACGGCTACAATTATAATTATAATCGGGGTTTGTTGTTGTCCATATCTTGATAACAAATTATGTAATAGCAATGTGAAAAAGATTGAAAAAAAACAGATTAAATTAATTTCTATCGAACATAATCGATTAGAATTATTGTGACAAATAGATACATTATTCAAGGATTGAGTATTCTATTTTAAACATATTTACACAAAGAGCTGGCAACAAATTCCAAGAAACAAATTAGAATAATTATGTTTCATGAATTTAAGATGTTATGTCACTTGACTATTTTTTGCAATAAATACAATTAAAAAAAAATTATGATGTCATAATGTTTATATAACTCTCACCACAACAGAGAAATATCAGCTTAAGAATTTTTATTGATGAACTAATTAATTGCTTCATAACATTTTTTTTATTGAATATTTAAAAAAAATTATTGATTTATCAAACTATCACCTCTTTATGGTAATCATAAGTTTAATTATTATCATCATAAGCTATCATGTCAAAAGTAGATTGTTAACAATTTTTATTAAAAATATTTTAATAGAAATAATCGACAGATCTTATACTGTTACGGAAGACTAATAAACGTTTTTACAAACATAATCCTCTGGCTTGTAGGAAGAAAAAACCATTTAAATTATTTTTAAACAGTAGAAAATAAAAAATATAGGTATATACATAAAAATAAATGTATCATTTTCCTCTTTTATTCATTTAGGTAAACCAATGTAATTTTTGTAGTTATTTACATTCAATGAATCCAATTGATTTTTAAATAACAGGAAGCAACGAAACTACAGACCTCTTCAAATCAGCTGATGCAACTTCTAATTGTTACAAATTATTCCTAAAGGTCAGACGACAATTGGAGAGTAATTACAAATTATCAACCAAATATAGTGAGTGACCTTGTTATTATAAATATGTTCTTTTTATATCATTTGAGCGGCTACATATCAAAGACAGACATATTCAGAAAGTGAAGAAAAACATAAATTTTTGTTTTGTAGGTTCAACTCAGACTGTTTCTAATGATTTTGTTTTAAAATTTATAAGTGGAATAATTAGGTTCAAGTTGAAATAATTTGACAGAAAATTGTTTTTTTTCTCAACTTTTTAAAAATGACAGATGGCCGTCTTTGATAAGAGGCTACGCATACATTTAATTAGAATTACTACAAAAAAGTTGCTAGGTTAATTTACATTTTATTGCCTTTAATATTCTCGCCAAAACAGAAAACGAAAAAGGCACAAGGCTCAGTATGCGGTCCAATTTGCTGAAGAATAGTAATTTTTTTTTTGTGACCTGCCAGTGGACACAAAAGAGGCCCGTACTGACCTCAAACGCCTGAACCGAACGGAAAGGTAACGGACAGGTGTCGTAGGTATATTAGAATTTTCTTTTATATATAATTATATACACAAATGCTTCAGTACTTTGAATTCTTACATGCATCAAATTTAACCTTTTTTGAGATGCTGCACTATCGACCTGGCTTTTAGCAGACTAAATAAGTCACAACTGAAATCAACCGCCTGAAAAGATATATTAACTACAGACAGTATATTACTCAAAGCCTTCTATTGACACTTTGAAGTCAATTTATATACGAATTACAGATTTAAACGGTATGTTTCCTTATTTATCTGTAGGGAATACCTAAAGCAGTAATGTTTATTTCAAAGGAAATGATCAACCATCATCTAGTTATCACATTTCCTTTCCTTAATTATCTGTTAAAAATATATTTTTCTGATAGTCCAACCATAAAACACAATTATTTTCATGATTTATTTTTTAACTAACAGCACCACAATAAGCTTAAACAAAATAATAATAACATGTTTATTTTGGTTGCCAAAATATGTCTTTAATTTTACAGCGTTATATTCATAACTACCTACCTGCTTTAATATCATCAAGTAAATCCATAATAGGGCATTCTATGTTCTAAATCATTAAGAAACAACGAAAAAATATTTCGAGCACAGAAATTAATTTTTATCATTGTAAAATAGAGCAAGATATTGTTTATAAGTGAGTAACGGGGTAGAATTTTTATTTTTAACCATATCAATAAATATTAAGACTCTTTTCTACTTTAAAAACACCAGTGATCAGTTCCATAAATGTGTAGATATAAATATGAATTTATTAAATGTGATCTAACATAAATACAATATTTATTTACTTTATTCGGATGTTAGTAGTATCAATTGTTAATTCTTTTCACTTGTGTGTATGAAGTAGAAAAGACCCAATATTTCATTTTATGGTGTATAATATATACATTATAATACTACATATTTTTCATTAATAAAATTTTCAATATCCTATTATTCCAATTGGTCGAACTCATATCTGTTTATGCTATACCTATGTCTAACTAAATAAATAAGAAGTAATTTAATTACTGTTTTTTTGTACATGCATCATATTATATTTTTGATACCTAATCTTCAAATAGCTAACTATCATAATAATATTATTTTTAAATCCATAAAAATATGTGGGCAATGAAGTTCCGTTCGTTTGTCAAGTCCGAAAACAACAATTGATACGAATGTTTATGAGTTTTTTTTTATAATTAAGCAACACCAACACACTTCTCACTTAATTTCTTGAAGAAAAAAAAAATTGTAATGTACTAATATAATTATAGAGGAATAGCTTGAATTAAGCGACTAATATTATTGTATAACATTGTACTGACCGGCTTAGAGACTGAGTAGAGCGGTCCGCTGGGGACTCGAGAACTGACGTCGGTGAGCATATCAAAAAACTAAGGACATCTCGACTGGCTGGCCGGCCACAGACTGAGCAACTACTGGACGGGCGGGAGAGGGGAGGGGAGGTGGGCGTGGCCTGGCCGACCAATAATATCCCTCCGCGCCACGCCCCTCCCTTTATCGATCCTCCCCTCCCTTCATCTCCTCACCCATATCGCCCGCTCTTTACATCTCACGAGCTCTTAATGCTGTTGTAATAGCTATTAATTCGGTCTTTCATTGGCCGATAGAGGATGATCAAGCTCCCAGTGATTATAATATCCCTGCGACCTTCTATTACCACTCACCGTTTCTCTCCTCTTGTTTGCACAACATGTTCCTTTTGAAGTTTACTACCGATATCGGACCTCTTTTAGAAGGAACGATATCCTTAACCAATACAATTGAAATTATCACAATAATTTCTTTGACTTGTTGCAGTAGGGAGAAGGTGTATGTAATCTAACAGTTATATTGCCAAGAACAGATTTATGTTATTTTAATTACTTAAAATCAATATTTATTTCATTTTTTTAATCACAATAAATTAAAAGTAATTAATTAATTTAGCTGTGGGCATGAAAGAAGACCACAAGGATGCAGATAGGAAAGAGCACCTAAGGTCCAAGCCAACTAATCTAGAAAATATGAAAGAATGGAAGGATACCAGAAACTTGAAACATGGGCCTAATGTTTCCTATTGTAAGAAGCTCAGGATATCCTGAACTTCTTCCGAAGCAGCTTACGATTCCGTTTAGAGAAGCTGTCTTTGGAAGATCATGACAGAGGTTTCAGGAAAATTCGTGAGACTGACGAAGGCGTGTACAAATTATTCTAAACACGGAATCGTGATACAAGGAAAAGTATCTGAAGGCTTTGAAACTTAAAAAGCTTTGAAGCAGTGAGATCAACTTTCGCTATTTAGGAAGTAGTAAATTACTTACGTACCTATTTCGAAGTCTTAGCCTAGTCATCTGATCGACTTTTCCTATTTTCATAATTAATTTTAGTTTACGAATTTTATTCATTCACCTAGGTTATTTGTTATTGATGTAAATTGCATTAAAAAACAAAAATTGTGTTTCAAATTATTGGGGAAAGAGGGAGGAAACGTTATTTTCGTCCCCTCTTTTTAGTTAGTGGCCCAGCTCTAATACTCAGTACCCTTAAGTGCGGTAAAATGTATTATAATTTAATAAAAAGATTTTAAAAAATTAAATTAAATAAATAAAGTTATTGGGGAGCGATCGTCTCCATCGCCTCCTCTCTCCTCCAAAGTCTGCACAAGCTGTGGACAAGAATGAATCAGTATTTATAATAGGAAAAGAATGTTTTTTTTATCAAGCGATAAATTTATATTTCATCCGAATACAATAAATATGATACGAAATGTAAAATCACTGAGAGTACGTAACAGCAAATTAATTATATGAGGAAGTTCTATTGCGGCTTTTATCTAACTTGGTACTTTAAGTCTAACACAAGATTACGTATTTTTATCATGTTACAATCCAGATTAATAATACCTGCTTTTTTATTTGAGCTGATTAAAACAATAATAATTATTTAATATGTTTTATTACCTAATTTCCTAACTAAAACAATAACTTCAACATTATTTAATTAAAATAATCAATAGATATTAAATGAACGTTTCAATGGATTTGGCTGTCTTAATTGAAGATAGTACAACAAAGATTATTATAAGGAAAACCTTCAGCCAAAATGAAATTGCTTATCATCTAAACCAAATTAGTAATTCTTTTCCTTTGCTATCTCCTTGGATCGACAAATGATAACCGTATATCCGAACATTAATGAGAATTGGTAACGAGTACTAGAAACTCATTGACTTTCAAATTAGAAAAAAAGGTCTTACGACTAATGTATGAACTTAGTATTGTGTATAAATGTATAACATACTGGTGTAAATACTGAGTGAGAAATTGATAATTCCCCCTTATATTGGCTAGGTAGAACGCAACCTTTCCTGAAAATATTCACTATCCATATAAGCTCCAAAAACCTTATTTATATTTCTTATTTTATACTTGTTTATGATCTGTAATTATTATAACTTGTGTAGTATTATTATCATATCTTTTATTTTATGTATATTTTTTACTTTAATTATCGTAGTGTATATTATTATATTTCTATATGTCATTATTTTATTCCAATGGAATAAAGTTCTATCTACGTATAGTTAGTTACCTTTAGCAGTTATTTAAAAATACATTGAGTTAACCTTTCGGCTATATGCTTTAATAAAATTTTTAATCGCAATTTTATTTATCTTATCAGTCAGCTGGTGTTCCTCAAGGTAGTATCCTAGGCCCTATTCTTTACATAGTCTATACAGCTGACATCCCAACCCATCCAAACACCGTGATTACAACCTATGCCGATGACACATGTGTCCTATCAGTTCATAACGATTCAACAATCGCATCCCAAACTCTTCAATCACACATCACAAATCTTGAAGAATGGTGTCAAAACTGGAGAATTAAAATAAATTCCAATAAATCCCATCAAATTATCTTTACCCTTCGTCGTAAACCTATGACTTCCTGTCCTACAGTATCCTTTAATAATATCCCACTTATCCCTGTTGAACAAATCCGATACCTAGGACTCCACCTGGACAAACGTCTAACTTGGAATCCTCATACTAGACTGAAACGACAAGAAAACGCTCGACGTTTTCGACTACTTCAGCACTTACTAGACAAACGCTCTAACCTTTCAATTAATTACAAAAGACTCATATACATGAACATAATAAGATCTATTTGGACTTGCGGAGTTGAGCTATGGGGTTCCACAAAACCATCGAATTCCTCTCGTATGCAATCTTTACAACCCGAAATCCTTCGTAAAACACTTGATACTCCTTACTTTATAACAAATAAAATAATCCATGATGATCTGAATGTTCCATATGTTTCCGATTTGGCCCAACCCAGATATCTATCCTTCCATAATAAACTTCAGAACCATCCTAATCCTCTCGTTTCTAACCTTGTTTCCTCCTCGGTGCCTGATAACCCTCCTAGGCGTCTGAAAAGAAAATGGCCTCATGATCTCGTAATTTAGATTACAGTGCAACGGTTGATTCTCTACAAGCCTTGTCATGTCATATATATTTCTTTGTATCACATTGCTGAATGTATATTAATTTTTACAGTTGTAAATTTCATAAATAACAATAAAAAAAATTATCTTATTTTATGTCCTAAAATAACTAAATAATTTAAAATATTTTAATTTCCTTTTAAACAATCGTTTTCTCAAATCAATAAGGTGTATCAATTAATTAGGTTTTATTATTATAATACTATAATAATATTTTATATCGATAAGTACAGAAAATCTATAATTTAATTCTTTCAATAATCAACCAAGTGGAAAGACGTCATTAACGATAGTCATGTGAAACATAAGAAAAAAGAGAAATAGGTTTGTATAGACCAGGTTAGAAATAGGAAACAGATGAGGTGAATAGGTCGAGTAAACGAAGATACCACAAAGTTACACGCAGAAGGTCAAGATAACAAGGGGCTGGAATTGTACGGTTGTGGTGTGAAACATCTACAAAGTTATTTAGTAAAACTGTCGGATCACGTATGTTTCAAGAGGGTTTAATTTTTTTTTCTTGTGTATAAAAACGTTTATAATGAATAAAACATAACATCATAAAAGTATATTAGTTCAATTATTAATATTCTATTAGTTTTATGTATTAATATTTTAGTTAATAAGTTAATATATAAACTGCTCATGTGTTAAAGGCGGTATAATTCAAACATAATTTGATAAGAATCAGTTTACATAATTTCAGATCAATAATGAAGCAATAACGTAAGAAAAAACAAACTATAAAAATACATTCAAATTATTGCATTTTGTAATGATGTAGAGATTTTTTTGACCGTGATAAAATACGAGAAGAAATTTTTGAAAAAAAATTAAAGAAATTTTTAAAAAATAGTATTTTTTTTAAATATTATTTTTCAAAAATTTAGTATTTATTTGACCGCACCTCCCCCCCTCCAACTCCTTCTCATATGTTATTTTATAGTGGTAAAATTATTTTGTTAAAAGCCAACGTTTCGACTTGACTTTGCAGGTCTTCTTCAGAGAGGTGTGTTCAGCAAGGAGTTACACTATAATTAAGAGTTTTCATTTCAAAGTGAAACTCCTTGCTGAAGACATCTCCCTGAAGAAGACCTGCAAAGTCGGGTCGGAACGTTGGCTTTTAATAAAATAGTTTTTCCACTATTTAGTCTATCTATGACCGTCACCTCGGACCATCTCCTTCCTTAATAATAGAATCGTCAACTATTAAGTATTCAATATTTTATTTCATGTTTTTAATGGTATTCTTTTACTCCATTTGTAACTGCCCAGTAACACATCTAGAAAATGTTACTAATTATTTTCTACGAGTTTGCATGATAATGACCAAGGGCGTACGCAGCTTTCATATAGGGGACAAGACGGATTAAAGGAAATTCTCAGATATATAAATGATATCAAAATCTATTTATATATTTATTTATTTATACTAATCAGATTGTTGTTATTACAATTTATAAATATTTTATACAAAACATGTATGTATATAGAAAAACAATTTTTAAAAAGGTATTTACTTGGATTTTTGGCAAACCTTTCGTATTACATTATATTTCTTTCGGTTTTTCAGGAAAGGGGAAACGGTTCATGATAATGACCTTAATAAGAAGGAACGGATCTATGGGCTGTTTTACTTTTAATCTAAGTCGAGCAAGTAATAAGAGGAGTTTGATCACGAGTGGGTTCAGGTGATTTTGAGTTTAAGAGTGAAGTATAGTGGTTTTGTCGTGCAAAAAAGACACTTACAAAAACTACAGACATTTCAATCCAAAATTTTACGACTTATAACAGGAGCTCCTTGGTACGTAAACAACAAAACTTTACATAGCGACTTACGACAACCAACTATCGACCAACACATACGCGATCTCTAATCCAGATTTCATCTTAAACTACA